AACGCGGCGCTGACCGCGACTGAGCCCCAGCTAACCTCTTCACCCAAACCCCTATGTGTGTGTGTGTGAGACTTGTTTAGATCATGTTGGTTTGGGAAGCAGAAGAGAGCGCAGTGGCAGTCAGAGCACTTTAACGGCTCCAGTTGGGATTCAGAGCAGCATCTGGACGACCTTTGAGCAACCACAGCAGCGGTGCAGTTAAATAGCCATATATGTTCAGCCATAAAGTGAAAAAAAAATCCAATTTAGAGTAACAAGGCCAATGTAGCTAACAAGTAGTAGAAGCGAATATCCCATAAAATTGTGCTGAACTTGCCTTATAGTGAAAATCCACTGCTTTTCCAAAATTTCTGCCTTATCCAGATCTTTGAGATGTAAACAAGGCCGTTCATAGTGGTTTGATGTGGAGTGATTCATTGTAGAGAAACTTGCTGACTCAGATTTACGGTGGTGGTGATAGGAACCAGGCGTCACAATGTCTACAACACAAATATAGGCATTTTATTTACTACCCAAAGCCACAGGTGACCCTACACGTGTCTTCTGAGTTTCACATTCAATGTTCATAATGGTAAATCTTAAAAAATACATATTCATTGAGGCCCTGCCTGTACACACACACACACACCAAACCACTCTGAATGACCTTGTTTACATCTTAATTTCATCACCACACGATTAACACATTGTTAAGTATTGCAGTGATAGAACAGATCAAACTACCCAAAGTGACATCATTAAGTTGCTGAGAGTAGCTTTAGAGAAACATTCCAACCAACAGGCTTTTCCTTGCACTGGGCTTGTACTGTGCTTTCTTGTGGGGGGAGCAAATGACTTAACCATTCAGTTAAACAGCCACTTACAGAGCTCACACATGAAGAAACTACTCCTGAACTTCTAAATGACCTCAAATGCAATGGCCGTTCCCACCCTGTGTTGTATAAAACAGTGGTCACCGGCCTTCCTCCTGGACATCTGCTTTTCTGCAGAGTTTAGTTCTCCCAACCAACCTAAGACTCATGCAGAGTGTGGTTAGAAGTAGACTCCACATGAAGGACCAGGGCTGGTGACCACTGGTGTGAAATATGTGAAGGAGTAATGGCTACTGTTACAACAAACCTGCATCACCATAAGGAACATCACAAGGATATATATATATATATATATATATATATATATCAATTAGCACACTGCAAACAAGGCTACTGTTTTTTAGCTATACAACATACACTGACTACTTACATCACTTACACATAACTTATATTACTCAATGTATGTACAAATTTTAATAGTTTTTAGAGCACTAAAATAAATTAATACTAAAAGGAGAGGGATAAAACAGGGCACGTTCAAATTATGTTAAAAACTGACAAACTCTCTCTCTCTCTCTCTATATATATATATATATATATTTATATATATATATAATTTAGTAACATTTCCACAAAACAGCAACTTTACAGGAGAGGGCAAAAACTTTCTTTGATTTCAATGTAAGTTAATGGAAAGAGTTTTTATTCTAAGCATTTTTGGAGCATTCCTATTGGTCCAATCATCATGAAGTTCACACAGTGTAGAGGGAGCTGCTGAGCTCAAATGATGCAGAAAAGTAAAAACTGCAAAAAAGAGATACATGGTTTTCATTTGACAGCGACGATATGTAACTACATATAACTATATACAAACTCTCTCTCTCTCTCTCTCTCTCTATATATATATATATATGTATACACATATATATATACACACACACTAGATGACATACTATAAACATGGTCTAAAAATGATTCAAATTTATACATACAAATTTAACCGATGTAAGTAAAGTCAGTGCACCTTCTTTTCAGTGTATGTTGTACAGCTATGAAGCTATAGCTTGGTAGCAGCTGGAAACCTGAGTTGCGTCCGTACTTTTTTCCATGTTTATTTATAACAGTGTATAATACAGTGTCAGAAATAAGTCTATTCGAGATTACTTGTCATCTCCACACAGATGTTTGATGTGTGATGATTTAGGCATAAATTACTAAATTACTGATACATGTAGTAATTTATGCTTAAACATAAATTACTGTCGTTAGTAAGAACTGCGTTAATGTATTTCATGTGGAACCGATCTACACATCTGAAACAAGCACATTCAAAACAGCACTTTTTCACCGAACATGTTGCAATTCAGCTACATCAGTCAAAAGTGAGTGTGATTGTAATATTCAATAAAGCGTTTGCTCATTTGATTGAACAAAAAATGTTGTAAACAGTATGAGCTTGTTTTGTTTTTATCGTCTGCTGTGCTGATTCAAATCGAATTGTGGTGAAATATGAGATGTTTTGATCCACTGAATCATAGTCAGATTGATTTGTGAGGTTCAGGATTTGCCAGGATCTTCGCTGTTTACTTGCTGTTATTCTCCGTCTCACTTTCCCTAAACTTTATCCGCGCAGACAGAGCTGCCCGCGGCGTTCTTGTGTCAGGTGTGCTGTGTTATGGCAGTAGATGGAATTTGGGCTCGGATCCAGGCCGCCTATCTGCACCCCTCCACCAGCACCCAGACAAGCGCCGACACATTCCTCTCTCTTCTTCTCTTTCTCCGCCGCTCCTCCTCCTTTCATTACCTCGCTTTTCTTCTTCTTCTTCTGCCCTCATGCTCTCGTCTCCTGTCGTCTGCCATTATTTTTCTCCTTCTCCGTATGTTTTCACGCAGTACTGGGCAGTGATACAAATTACAGCAGTGATATTTTCCAAACGGAAAGTATTATTAGGGTATCAGATTTAGTTTGCATTAAAGAGGCTGTCAAATCATTTCTGTAATCCATGTTTTGTAGTTTAGCTATGTGGTCCTTCTGTTGATCAAATACAGGTCAATGCTGCTCATTTCTATAGACAGTAAACTCTATTTGGATTACGGTTATATGGCTGTATGTTTTCAAATCTGCCTCTAATTAATGATCATCAAGTCATATATCTTTAGTATCACTGATGTACAAAAGTTTGAAAATACCTAATGACAGGTTTTGTTGATTTTCTGTGTCAGAATAAGTTAACATATTTAACACACCCTCTACAGAGAACACACTTAAATATGGCGTTTTTCTACAAATTTCAGTGCACAATTTCTGTTTATTTGGAAGAAAAATTAAACCAAACCAAAAATATAAAATGTTCCATAACTTCAGCACAGGCCACATTTAATGTTCAATATTTTCCAATATATTAAATTCAGCAAATAAATAATATAAGTGTGGGTTAAAATGTGTAGGTGTCAACTTATTTTCACTCAGAAAATAAGTTGAGAGAGAGAGATAGAGAGAGAGAGAGATGAAGAGAGTCAGAGAGAGAAAGAAAAATGGAGAGAGAGAGAAGCAGATAAAGAAAGACAAAGAAGTAGAGGGAGAGAGACAAAGAGAAAGAAATGGAGAGAGAGAAGCAGATAGAGAAAGAGAAATAGAAATGGAGGGAGAGAGAGAGGAAGAGAGAAATGGAAAGAAAGACAGAGAGAGAGATAAAGAGAGTCGGAGAGAAAGAAAAATGGAGAGAGAGAAGCAGATAAAGAAAGACAAAGAAGTAGAGGGAGAAAGAGAGAGAAACAGAAAGAAAGAGTGAGAGGAAGAAACAGAGAGCGAGAGAGACAGACAAATGGAGAGAGAGGCAGATAGAGAAAGAAGGAAAAGAAATGGAGGGAGAGAGAGAGAGGGAGAGAGAGATATGTACAGAGGACGAGAGAAACGGAAAGAAAGACAGAAAAATGGAGAGAGAGAATGAGAGGAAGAGAGAGAAAGACAGTGTATTGTATTTTTTTGTTTGTATTGTTTTGTATTTTGTTTTTTGTTTTTTTTGTTGTTTTTTTAAGATTAACTTTTAATGTATAGATAATTTTGTAGTGCTTTGACAGTACAAATGGAAATGTGTCATGTCAATAAAGCAAACCTGAACTTGACATTGACAGAGGAAGAGAGAAACGGAAAGAAAGAGTGAGAGAAAGAGAGAGAAATGGAGAGAGAGAAGCAGATAGAGAAAGAGAAAAAGAAATGGAAGGAAAGAGAAACAGAAAGAAAGTGAGAGAGAGAAAGAAATGGAGACAGAAAGAGAGATGAAAGAATGAAATGGAAAAAGAGAGAGCAAGGAATAGAGAGAGAGAGAGAGAGAGAGAGAGAGAGAGAGAGAGAGAGAGAGAGAGAGAGAGATTGAGGGTTAGACTTTCTCCTTTAGAAACAGGATACATGTGCTTTACTTCAAAGGAACCTTCTGCCTGCATGTTTAATGTGGTGTACTTGAAAGACAGTGAAGTGTATGAGAGAGAGAGAGAGAGAGAGAGAGAGAGAGAGAGAGAGAGAGAAGAGAGAGAGAGAGAGAGAGAGAAAGAGAAAGAGAGAGAGAGAGAGAGAGAGAGAGAGAGAGAGTTTTTGCTGAAGTCTTGAAGAGTTTGGTGAAAAATCTAACTTGCCAGTTTTCAGTCATCTTACCTCAAATGTAGTTCTTCTGCCAAGACATGCTTGTCTGAAGTTTTCCTCTGTAGTTTTGCGCTGGAGCTACGAGGCTAATGTAGCTCATATACTTCAATCAGCACTGTGTAAACTACACGCCTAAATCACTGCATATGTGTTTCAAACCCTTTCAGATCTCTAACAGACATTCTCATGTAGTTTCTGACACTGTATGACAAACCGTCATTAATAAAATGGACAAAAGCACAACCAAAGTTCAGACTGTAGGCTGACCGCTGCCACTGTTTTAGGAAGATGTGGTCAAACTTGGTGTTAGCTTATTTTATAAAGTGTTGTATTTCAGTTTCACTCAGTGTTTTGTTCCATTTTTCAGTCTTCGTTCTTGGTTTGCTGGATCTGAACTAAGCCCAGACTAAATAAGACTTCCCAACAGCCTTGGTATTAAGCCTAAGACTAGGTTTTACCTTTGTCTGGTTAACCTACTTTAGGATGTTTTGCACTTACGAAATATAATATAACAGTTTTTCTCCTCTGTTTCCCGTGTCTCCCTGCAGCTCCCAGGATTCCGCCTCCTGTCTGCCCCTCAGCTTCCTCTCGGAATGGGACTGCACCTTCCCAGGGTGCACTTCTTCAGCGGGGGGTGTGGCCATCCCCAGGTGGGGCAGGCGGCCTAGTCCCCCCCCAGTCCCCTGACCTTTTGACCCCTGAGACCCCTGCCTGACCTTGCCCAGCCATGCCGTTCGGACTGAAGCTCCGCCGCACGAAGCGCTACAACGTCCTGAGTAAGAACTACTTCGTGACGCGGATCCGTCTGCTGGACAACAATGTGATCGAGTGCACGCTGTCTGTGGAGAGCACCGGCCAGGAGTGTCTGGAGGCGGTGGCCCAGCGCCTCGAACTGCGCGAGGTAACACGCCACATCACGTTGCAATGTATGCTGGGGATTGTAGTGCAGCGCATTGGGAAACGGGCTTATATTAATAGAAAACTAAAATTATTTTGCGGGCCAGATAGGATTGTTGTGTTTGACACAAGTGGTTTAGTGTGTAATGATGCTGGTGGAGCAGTTCAGTTGCGAAAGCTGACCTACAGGCCAGTTTTCCTCAGGCTTGATCTGATTTCAGTTCCTGGCTGTTTTAGAGGCTGTGTTGTGTAAAGAGTCTCACTAAAGCACTGTGTGTTTTATGGTTAGCGTTAGCGCCTTTGATCATGACACATCGCTCAAGGCTGAGTGAGCAGTAAGGATCAAGTTCAGGATCTCAGCACTGTTGAACCTTTGTAGACTGCTGGCTTTGTGTGTGTGTGTGTGTGATTGTTTTCATTCTTTGTTGGGATAAAAATGCTCTGACTTTGTAGTACACCCAAACAAAGTCAATGAAATGGTCCGATGTTCTAAAGCTTATTCCTTATCTCATTGTTTAAAATATATTCTTACATATAGGTATATATGGGTCATTCTACCAAGATGGTTCAAAGTCAGTTTAAACCCTTTTCAGACTTTTAACTGACTTGGACTTCAGACTAAAATCCTTTTGCTGAGTGACCCTGTATCTTTATTTTATTAAAACATATGGTTGAAAAAAAATTCCTTGTTGTCGGAACGTTACCGAAACCTTACCAAATGTTTTGTTAGTGACAAATCTAGCTGATTTTGAGCTGAGCTCAAAAACACTAGCCAGGCTAACATGACTAGCAAACACAGCTTTTAACAGTTATAAGCACATAAAAACATAATATTTTTCATTAAAGCACAAAAAAGTTACTTAATTGCAGAAAACGTGCTTTGGTAGTGACAACTGTACATACTGAGTGTCTGATTTTAGAACACATTCACTTCAAAACAATGGGATCTGACTGCTCATCCCTGTCCCTCATGTGGCCATGAGGGACAGGGATGCAGCCTCACTTCCTGATCTAAAATGCAGGGTGTGGCTAAAATAAGGCTCCGCCCACAGACTAAAACTCTTTATGTTTCGGTATTGACATGAAAATGTGGGAAAGCATTTTTATTATTATTTTTACATTTTACGTGTTTTTTTATTAATTAATTAAAAATATATATATTTTAACAATACAAACAATAGAAAAAATGTTAAGTATTATTTTCACAAATGTAATTTTAGGGGTTGGGGTTTGGAACAGACACCCAAGAGAAAGTACCCTATAAATGACTATTTTGTATACGTTTAGCCGATTACTATCTTTTTAATGCCTTGAATTTAAGCAGCTCATAACAAAGTCTTTGTAAATATCTATACGCAACATATTATTATTACAAATAGGTACATATATATGACCCCACGTCCTGACAAGGTAGAAAAACGAACGTGCATGTGTGTGTGAATTCCTCCAGCGAATTCTCACCTTGTTGTAAAATTTCTCAGTTCCTCTGAATGTCGTAAATCTGAAGGGACCCCCCTGCCCACCCCTCCCCCCCACACACACACGGCATCACGGATCCCATGAACTCCCAGTGCCCCTCTCACCTGCACGTACACCCTGAAACCCTAGCCAAATAGTTTTTAGAGCTTATTGAAGCAATAATTGCTTTATGTTCTTAATATCTGTGTAGTGTGAGTGGTTACAGAGGGGTCCACCTCCATCAGAAGGTGCCCCCCGATTGGTCCAAAAGCTGTTCATGATCTGAAATCTGGGAGCTTGACCTGCCCTGGAGCAAGTTAGGCATGCGGCATGTCCAGGGTCAGGTCAAACTACGCTTAAAGCTCCCATATCATAAGAAAGTGTTTAAAATAAAATACTTTTTTCGCATAAAAAGGGTAAAAAATGTTTTAAAATGTATGATTCACACCATACAGTCCACATATGGAGACTGAGCAGCAAAAGCAATTTATTTTGATATTTACCGGTTTTCTGATGTCACAAAAAATGCTTTAAATATATCCCCCCATTCAGCTAGCAGCAGTTTAGCCCCACCCATTCAGACTTATTGTTATAAGAGGTGTTTCAACCTGGACTGCTTTTTGAATGAAGCACACTGCAGGGCAGCCAATCAGAACACATTCCATTATCATACATGAGCCTTAAAGGCACAGCCTGTTTCATTTAAGGAATAAAGACAAGCTGACAGTTGACGTGTATAAAAATAAATCATGACTTATTTCATGAATAAAACCACACAATTATCATAAGATACATGAAAAAGTAGGATATGGGCCTTGGCTTAGCAAGAAATCCTGCTTTGTGAGAGACACGCCCTACATGTTCCCAAAACTTTGGCATGTATTGCAAATCGCAAACAAACAAGGGAAAAAAATCGACTCATACTGCTGCACTGCTGCTCGCTTGGCTCTTCATGCTGAAATGTGTTGCTTCTTAGCGCATTTGTTCCGGCCTGTATCTCTAAGCCCATCAGCAGCAGGGCGATGGGAAAGCAGCCAGTGGCTGATGGGAGCCAGCCCTCGATCACCTGGGCCATCCCGTAAGAGTCTTAAGCTCAGTGTAGTGGAGAGAGAGACCTGGAAGTCTTCCTCCCTCCACCGCTGTAATGATGACGGCTGTTGTACGAGGCCTTTGGGAGCAGTTTTCTGGCAGCAGTGAACGGCTCTCAGGAGCTACTGTACGTACAGGCTGCTTTATGTCTGCTGTGAGTGCCAAGAAGTGATTATTTTGCTAAGAGAAGCTGATTATTCCCACAGATACTGTTTGCACTGGGTGGAATTTTACTCATGGCTTAACTGGCATTGGCCTGAAGCAGAAAGTAGCTAACGTTGCTAACGGTGAATGAAAGTGAATAGCCACAAACTAGCATTATACAAATAGAGCAATGCTAATCATGGCACCCCTTTGTTGTTAACCGCATTAGCATGCTAGGTCAAGCTAGTCCTTGAGCCTTGCTAGTTGGAATGTACTGAAACAATCCATACCACACTTGTTTTTGGATGTAGAAGCGGAGATGTTAGTTTGATTTGAATTTAATGAAATGTTTTTACAATTTTTGCCACATTTTTGACTGTTTGACATTGAAACAAACTGAAAAAGTTGAAAAACTTGAATGCTAATCAAATATGTAACTATGTCTAGGCCTTTTCTTTTTTTTTTTTGCTTAGTTGTTGTAACTAAAGAACAAGCCTAAAGTAGCCAAACTGGCTAATTAGCTATCTTCCTTCCTAGCTTTCTTTGGGCAATTTTCCACTGCGCATTCAAAAAGTCTTATGGTTCTAGTTCTAGTTCACTTCACCTACTTAAAAGACATCTTTAATAAGTGACTTTATTCTGATTTTACCTCTTTTTGCTCAGTTTATGCCACTCTAAAGCATCTAATGTCGCTAATTACCTGCCTTGCTTGCTAGTTATAGCTAGCTTAACATATGGGCTAACACAAAAACAGTATACTGGACTGTTTCGAGCCCCTATATTCACACAATGTCTAGAATTACACCGATTCATGTGTGGAATCAAGCGAAGTTCATAGTTTTCTCTGTTGAGTGTAAAAATTTGAGTAGAAACATTGTGTAGAAGCTAGCATAAATGCTAAAAACATTAGCCTTAGCTTCACTTGTGAAGCTCTAAAGTAATAATTCTAAAATACTGACTGGCGCATCGTCATACCATTCTCGTTCATGTTATGGTGCATTTATTGGAGATGTAAGAGTGTTTCCTGTCTTTATCTTCACCTGGAAACGTAAAGAGTTAGCTGAACTGTCTGTGGCTTTGGTGTTACCGAACACAGGGCAGTGCACCCTCATTAGCTCCTGTTTGTGCTCTTGAACAGGTACCAAAAACCTTAAAACTGAACGTTTGGTACTGGTAATGGTGGCCAATGGAACAAAACATATTTACAGTTTGCTAGTACCAAAGATGCTGGTTCTTTGTGCAATGAAATAAAAAAATGCATTTTATTGGTAGCTAATGGCAGGTTGTACTGAACCGATATACTGCACTGTAGACAAGTGTTTACAGTCAGTCAAAATCATGTATAGAGTCAAGCAGAGCTTATATTCTCTTCAGTGTGTGAAAATCTGTATGCTAACAATGCTATCAACATTAGAATCAGCTACTAGTATTAGCACTAGCCTCAAAACTTGTAGAAACCCCAAATTAGAAGTTAGAGCTTCTGTTGTTTTCTCTGTATCCATGATATGTGTCGATGTACTTGCTTGCTTTTGGTTGACATTCATTCACCTCAACCCAACACACCCATTTCACATGCCACTTTTTGCAATGTAATATCGCTGGTGTCGGAACAAAACCTTGTATGTCCATTTTTAACGTTTTTCAGTTTTTAACATCATTTGAAAATATCCGTTGCCCTTTACATTGTATGTAAATTTCATGATGAGTGGATCAAAGGAAATGACCCAAAATGACTTGGAAAAAATGTCTGGTTCCATTGACTTACACTAAAAGTAAAGTATGTTTTTTCCTTTTCCTGTAAAGTTACCATTTTGGAGGTTCAGACAACAGTAATATGAATATGTTGTAACACAAGCCTGGCGTTGAATATATGAATTTGATGAGTTTATGATGTATTCAACTAATATAATTTATTTATTTTTTCTTATACATGCTCCTCATAGTAACAATAACTGTTCTT